GTCGAAGTGCGGCCACGACAGCAAGAGCAGGATGATAGCGCACTCATCAAGATGCCTGCTTTTGATTTTAAGAAGAACAAGGTCGGCTTTGATGACGAGATGGTCATTGTTCTTCAAGAGGGTCATGATGGCCGAGAAAGCCTCGTGGTGTATGACTTCACTTGATCAGCAACGGAACCGGTATGTGCAGACGCTTGGATATCCTGAAAAGTTACGACTATCTTCGATCCAACAACGACTCGGCGGTTTACTCGACCAACGCTTCATGCGTCCAGCCCACTGGCTTCTACTATTGCTACAGAACTTGATTGCCTCGGCGCAACTTGGCAGCTATGGCATCATGTTATTGTTACCCTCAATCAATAAGTCAATCCTGACCTTGATTCGCCACAAGTCGGAACAGAATATCAAACACCTGCAACCTCACACTTTAACCGACTACCCTATGCCACACATTACATGGACACACCCCCACGAAGCAAAAAATGGACCCAAGCCACTCAACCGCAAACAGGAAACTATCTACTGGAAGGGAGGGTCACCAGGGAAGGAGGTCAAGTGGCATGGTGACCGAGCGGGTTGGCCCGGAATCCCCATTTCGTCACCGAGTGGTATTATTAGGAGGACTCTCGGGTCGTCGGTTTTGGCCTAGCCGAGGTTCCCCTATCTCCAACCCCCAAAGTAGGCAAGAGTCCTACACACCACATGATGTATCTACAATATGGAGGGTATCAAACCGTTTGTCCGGTCAATGTCTCAATAATGGAATCATGAGATTGAGAAGCCATGTCCAGTGATGAACCCATCCCCCCACGGGCAAATACGACACCGTACTTGATTTTTTTCCCGCGCTATCTGGACCCCTAGATAAATAAAAAGGAAGACAAGGTATCATTCGAAGCAACCCCAATCAAATCAGATGGATAGCCCAAGCCGCACCGCGTGACAGCTGAGGCAAGGTCTCATGCTGGTTTCGGATCGACAAGCCAGAGGCGGGTAGCAAGAAACACACACCAACTAGGTAGCAAGGAGGCTAGATCTCCTTCCATGTGCCCATCCTACCTGGCTTCGTGCAATGCCTGGATGTCATGCATTTCGCCAGGCCGCGCGCTGCAACCGTGGGTACCATTTGGTCGGGGGGCCTTGCCCTCCACCCAGGAGACTAGGGTCGGGTCATGCGCCCTTCCCTGGGTGCGGGTTCGGGACAGGCGGTAAGGGGATCTCATGTGGCTTGCCTACGGGACCCAGCCGAAAAGCAAGATCGGACTGCTGCCTCTCTTCTGCAGAGGGAGGGCGCTTGTTCGACACGGGAAACGAGTGTGAGGCTACAATGAATGGCCTAGGAGCGATTCTCCGGAGGGGGCGTTTCTGGATGGCACCGCACCGCACACTGGCGGCATCAGCTGACGGGCTTTTGATTCTAGGGAAATCGCTGGCGGGTAGCCCGGATTTCGAGAATGCTGCGAGAGCCCTGACGGCAGGGCCTCCATGTACAGTGCCGTCATGGAGACTAGTGATCATATATATGAATTGGCACTCATGAATGTACTATTGATCCCGTATACTTGGCGCTTGCCACTTCTACCGATCTCTACCTTGCCATTGACAGTAAATCATGTGTGCCACTTCCTACGAAGAAAGAGTTTGGGTACGCAAAATGTTGTAAATAACTGTGCACTTGACGAAGTTATATTTCCCCAGTCAGAGTCAACGCAAACCCCATGAATGCGGAGGGAGGGTAAGCCGAGGACTGACATTGCAGGCCCAATCTGACTAAACCATCCGCCGCCTCCGAGGATATAAAAGTCCAAAAGGAAGATAAGCAAGGGGAACAAGATTTGACATGCATATGTTTCTACCTTCGAGCGAGTAGCACTTTTCTATTGATAGGAATTGTCCCAGTTCGCCACCTCGAAGTTACATGGCCAGGGAACAGTTAGGAAAAGGCTTACCTCCATGAAGTTTAAGAATACAGGCTTTGAGTTACTTTCCAACTCTATCAGGGAAAGGGACGAGCCGCAATAGGCCTGGCGCAAGGTGTCTGTGGTCCGGTTGCTTCTGGCACGGGACAAACAGGGCAGAGGGGAGCAACCGCGCCTAGTGTTACATGTCTGGATCAATTGGAAGCATGCCCTAACCCAATAGGTTCCTGCTTGTTTTCCGGCGGTGTCGGTGATGAGAAAAGAGAAAGGAGGGGTTAACTCGGTGATCATCGGCGCGCGAATCGAGGCACGTTCACGCACCGCCATGGCACAATTGAGGAGGGGTTGATGCCAAATGCTGCTTATCCTGGGTTAGGTAGATATTGGTGCTTCTAGAGCGAGTGGGTGCTCGATGTGGGGGATAAGATAGTACATACATCCATGGCCCATCTGTGCCGATTTATGTATGATACATGTGCATTTGTTGGTATCCATGGCGGTCGGCAATGTACCTACAGGCCATGGGGGCCTTGCCTGCACGCTACACCAACGTTACAGGCCCCAGGGACCCGCCTGGGTTAAGTGAGTTAGTGCATGGGACAAGGCACGGTGTGCCTGCATTGATCCAGCAGGCGCGCACACCAATCAGCCAACCATCCATCGTCGGTGGATGGCCGAGGTGGAATGCAATCAGGACGATTATTAGACCGGAGGAGCGTAGCTTGGGCGCCAAATCCATGTGACAGCCTGATACCCTCAGATAGACAACAGCCATGTCCTGCGGCGAGATGGGAGGAGAGGGGCGTTTGGCTTGCAACGCTTGTCAAGTGACTGTTTAGTGCATCATCTGGCACCATCACGATGTCGTATCCCACGTTCACGACTTGGACCCAACCATCCTCAGCTGATAAGGGAATGCGCGATCGCAATCGGAATGATTAGCAAACGACTGGATCTCCAGAGGGCGACGAGGAGGGGGCCAGCCAAGGTACCCTACATTGCCTACCTACCAGGCAGCCATGGTGTGTGTGTGTTGAGGCTGAAAGGGTTACAGGATAAGCAGGTTGGTGTAGCCAGTGTGGTATGGTGTTCGTTCCGCGGATCTGGGGGGTGTCATGTGTGCCTTTCCACACTATAGGAGAGCTGATTTGACTATGGGATGTGGCGCTTGGGGCCTTTCTCATCACATCCAGTTTACATACTTTCCTCTCAGCCTGTCATTTATGACAGACGTGAGGCCAGCCGTGGAAGCAGAGGAGGGGTTGGGAAGAGGAAAACCGAACAACCGTGTTGGTTATTCTGTGCCTTTTCTGGTTCTCTTGCATAGGCGCCGCCACTAGAATGCGGGCGGCCAATCATATGGTGTGGACGCGCATGCGAAGGAAGTGAGTGCTCAAGTTGCGTCGGAGTTTTGGACCCCTATGGCCTCTTTGGTGCCCATCCATCGAGAAGCCTAACTCCGACGCCGGCTTATTGAAATGGCAATCGCAGACCAGGACTCTTATTTTTAGGCAGTGATCTACTCAGGGTCGATTACGATTGATAGGAGGCGGAGTTAAAAAGAAAACACGAAGGAGAGAGCGGACACGAAAGGGGCATCGGAGTATAGAACCGCAAATTCCGTCACGACCAAGGGACCAGTAGCGGGCGATTACAGTGGTGGCCATGAGATGGGCAGTGCAATGAACGTGTCGTAAGCAGCCAGAAAATGGGGATGCCAAAGCGAAACGAAACCCATCAGTTTGCGACTGCGCTGCTTCGGAAAGTGGACCACCCTGCAGCCATTCCCCCTCCTCTGGTACCTTGGCCCAGATACATAACTTGAGTGCATCAACCGCTGAACGCTGGAGCCACACCCTAGATGTCCTTAGATGCACGGCGGCAGCGGCGGGAGTGGAGGCGGAGGCGGAGGCTTCCAGGGATTGCACATGACGTGGAAGAGACATGTACCTTTGTAGGCTCCAGAACCAGATCTGAGAGCGGGCTGCCAGCCCAATTGTTTATGCAATGCCTTTGGAAGCAGAACCGTCTACTCAAGGGTAGCGGGGCTCGCAGCGACCGTCGCTGCTGCAATGCCAATGGCCTGACGCAATCGATTCCGGCAGGACGTGTAACGATCCATCTCCCGTGGGTTTTGCCAGGGAAACGGGTATTAAGTCTGGTATGCAGGGCCTCGGGACCATTCAGGAAGGCAGCGGCCAATGCTGGGGCATCCTTGTTGTCAGCCCCTGTGTCCAATCCCGCTTCCAGCTGTGTCAAGCGTAGATTTGTACCTGGGTACCAGAGCCTATCTGCTTGTCGGCTCTAACACCAACGGGGTCTAGCGATCCGTGATGTGGTGTGAATGGAAAGGGCCACAAGCCAATCCACCCCCACCAGTCAGCAGCCTGTGACTCACACACTCCAACTCTGGTTGGGTTTGTGGATGGACACCTCCAGCAGGCAGAGAGACACTGACGAGTCACGCGGGCCGTAGAGGCGTCGGCGTATGTGTGGTGTGGCTGAATTCAAGTTGGTTGACTGAATGGCACTTGGAAAGCCAATTGCGCCCGTGGCGGATGCTCAATGCGGCAGGGAAAGGGACATGGCGCGAGGCGAAGGAGGAATTGGAGAATAGAAAGAAAGGGAAACAAAAAGAAAGACCGGGCTGGCAGGGACAAAGCGACGCAGCCATAGATGCAGATGCTTCTTTGTGGTGGATAATGGGATGGGGGTGAGCAGAACGCGCCCCTTTCCATCAAGCCAAGGGAGGACCGCGAGCCAGTTCGCTTGCATGGGCGGCACGATACAGGACGTCTCGCGCCGCACAGTCTCATTAGCTCCATTGGGCACCGACACCACTGTTGGCCCTCCTGTTTCACTGGGGAAAATCAACATGATGTTGACAGTGGTTTTCTGATGCCCAAGACACTCCGTCACACCACCGGCTGTTTACTCGTACGTTGGTGGTGCTCTCTCAGTAGGGCCAGGCCCACAGCTGGAAACCCACATGCCGCAACCATCGCCATGGACCAGGAAGCCTGGTGAAGCGAGCGCGGGCGATCAAACAGACGGGCAAGCAGCCGTCTTTGATAGATGTCAGGCCTGGTCAGGGTCATCATGATGCGCGCCGTCAACCTGACAGTCGGACTGGAAATGGCCAGGCCAATCTGCCTGTCGGTTACGGATTAAGGTTCGTCGCTTGCCATTGCGCTATCTGCGCTGGGATTTCGGAACAAAACGAACGTTGGGCGCAGCACGCCGGTGCGGGTGATTAAAATTAGCACTTGCTACTGTGATTCTGGGAGGGGTACAGACTGCGTGCATACCTCAAATTCACGCTTGCCGCTCTCCAGTTCATCGAGCGACCCAGCTGTCACGCCAACCTGCTGGTGTTGGAGGGTGCGACCAATTAAAGGTCTAGAGTCGCCCAATTCCAATATTTCGGCGATGAGAGGCGGTAAGCGGAAAGCCATCATCTCATCATGTATTTCTCCCGGGCAGCTGGAATAACGCAAGGCATCGGGCCTTGGACCAGGACGGCCGCCGGCAGCCGCAATTGGCTGATCTGATGGCCTGAGCCCGCGACGTATGATCGCAAACCCAACTTGTCCATGTTGTGAAGATGGCGTCGGCCCCTTACAGTACGCTGCGTTGCTCAATGGAGGGTCCATTAAACATGCACCATCTGGCCACTAATGCGCTTGAATTGGCCGTGAAACGTCATTGTTTTGGGGCCCTCCACATCCAAGCGCAACTGGGCTCTTGTATGCAACCATTCAGTCAATGGAAAAGTAGCATCCGTTACCACATGTACAATAAGTGCACATTGCTGGCCAAAGACAAGGCGCCCCGACCTGCCTGGGCAACTAGCCCAATGCAACAACGAACAATGCGAGCATGAAAAGGCCGATTGAGTTTCCCGGGCACTCTTCCCTCCAGGAGGCGCACGGAGGAGGAAGTTTCGTTTGGCGCGTCGACTGGTGGCTGGCGACAGATGACCACCACACTTGAGAACTATGGCGGGATGGTCCCTCGCAATTGAGACATTGATGGTGTCATGCAAGCAGCTGATTGTCAGGTTGAAGCCCTGGTTTGCCTCGTGGGTTACTTCTGCTGGCGCGGCCCAGCCCAGAGGGACTTACACCTGACTTGGATCCATTTGGATGGTGGGAGAGATATGTTCCAGAGGCTGTTGTAGGCGGTACTCACATCAGACTGGAGGGATGCAGTAAGTCAAGTGGAAAAAGGAGGGGTGAGTGGAGTGGCGTCAGAGCTTCTAAAAGAAGCAAGAGCAACGCTCTGGTCCGGGCCCCAGAATCTACCTTGTCCTTAGGCAAGTAAGGTCGGCAGTACTCCGCAGGCAAGCAGAGGGCGGGCTGCAAGTATCAGGTACTTCCCCCTCCTCCCTGCTCCCTGCCGGGCATTTAGATTGCCAGCACCGCAGAAGATTATGCGTCTGTGTAGGGCAAATTGCCAAAGTCAACGCGCCGCCAGACATAGGGGGCAATGAAGCGCGAGGACTTGGTGCCTGCTTCGTCGCCTGCAATTGAGCCCTCCAGGCTCCCCAACTGCGCCAGTTTCCCACGTTTGCTGGCGTCTTTGCTTGTGCACATTTCCCCGGCGTAAAGTGCGCGAGCGGAGGGCTGCACGCAGGATGGCGAGGTACCTGGGTACACGGAAAGGAGCGTGCAGGTCCACCACGTTTGCCTGCACTGAACTGCACTTTATTGCACTTTACACGCCCCTCCCTTCCCATCACCCACCCCCTCCGCCTGCCTCGCCCCCTGCGCTTTGGCGATGGTACGAGCAGGTGTTAGTTGTAGATTGCATTTGCTTTGCTGCTACTAGCCGCTGGGAAGTTTCCTGATCATGGTGGTCGCCTGGGTCGTGCTGGTCTGTTCATCTGCCATACCCTGTCTATCTGCGCCGAATCTACTGATGCTTCCCTTCTTCACCTGACAATATCGTATCGTATCGTGAGCTGCTTAGAACTGCCCTTGGCTCCTCTTTGATTGCTCCTTCTCCCTGTATTTCCCTTCGTTTGGCTCTTCTGTCAGCCTCCCGCTCTAGTGCTGCTGCCTTCTCCCATAGCCTCAAACCTGTCGTTTGCTAGCCTAGCCGAGTGTTGGCTGGAAACACACCGACATCTGCCATTTCAACAACCAGGCCAGGCAAACACAAGCGCAGGCACTCCTGGGTATCTGTATATGTCAGGATATCATACCTGCGCTACGAGTCTCCCACGTCTTGTCGCCCTTTGGCTAGGCAGACATACATCTCTTACCTCGCAGCGACTGTCTGCTGCCCCCGGCACATATTGCACTTTGGCCTGGGTGCTCGGCGCATAGTCCGCACATTCGCACACACGCGATCAACCTCGTTTCTGTTGCCCAATCAAGCATATCGACAGAGTCCTAGACTGGGGATCACTGAGAGGGGCTTGAGCTGGTCCTGCATCAAGTCTCCGGGTGCCACATCATTCATACGCAACGACAGCCCCAAGTCTTGCATTCATTGCCTCACTGGTCCTTGTCCACCAGCCGATTTCTGACCTTGAAACTTGCTTGCCGGAGGGGTACTTTCGCGCTCTACTCAGCCCTGGGCCAATCTACTGGCCATATTAGGTATCAACGCCTGCCTTGTGTGTGTCAGAGCCACGCCCAGCCGAACAACACATACATCGGCCACCCATTGCCTGTCGCCTGCTGGGCACGGTCCCACAGTCCCAATTGATGTACTTGAGAGGCCCGAGGACCCATGTCCCAGCACCCCAGGCTAATTCCCACGCCTCGATTGTACTAGCTGCATCATCTGCCTACCCCTAGCCCGCATCCACTGGAAGATTGCTTGTCACCTCACAAACATCACGGCATACTAATAGGCTTCTGGCGACGCACATCGTCCCTTTTGGACCACCCTTTCCCTCTTCTTTCTTTTTTTAAACTTTCGGAAACAATAGGTGCGCCATTGCAGCGAGCACGGGTACCACTCTATTCACTTTTGCCAAGGCACAATCAACAGCGCCCTGGACCGCCAGCCATTCAATTCGTCAATCGGCGCAGCCAATTAACCTGAACCCTCCGCTTCGCCACGTACCGCTGACCCCCAATCAGAAAAAACAAAACCAAGGGGCCATAACTCACAATCACCGCGCCCGGTTTTCTTATTTCTTCTCCCCCTCCCCTCCCACCAGGCCTTCCATCCTGTTCTTCATTTCTTCTGCCTCCCCGTCCCCCGCCCGCCATATCTCCGAGAGTTAGCTCCGGTGCAACATCTCTCTTTATAAGCCACCTCGCCGTGGTCTGTCAGGCAGACGTAGCGACACCCCGGCTTCCGACACTCCAGCGTACCCACTGGCTACGTACCTCAGTCAATCAATCCATATCAATCGGGCCACCCCCGGCACCCCAGTCGCCACCCTTTTATCACTGCCTAGTGACGACTCATAGTGGTGACTCCCACCACCATCATGGCTGACAAACCAACAATATCATTCAGCCCACAGCCTTCCCGGGCTTTCCACAAAACCCAGCCAGATCTCGGCGTCAAGAGTACTTCTGTTGCCTCTTTCTCCTCTTCGTCTTCCTTCTCAGCATCTCCCTCATACCACCCCGTTGCATCGAATTCGACGACACACATGTCAATTGCAACAATGGCGACCCCAACAATGAAGGAAACGAAGAAGGTCGACATCACCAGCCTTATGTCGCCTCCCGACCCCGTTCTCGACAGTTTCCATGCTGAGCCCCATCAGAATATCAACATTGCAAAGAGAGCGCAGCCATCCGCTGAGAAGGCAAACCAGCCTGCGCCTCTTTCACCTCCAGTCTCCCCACGAACCAACTCTCCCCACGCGACGAGCGCCGAACGACACCCCAGCATCGCGTCCCAGAACAATTTGAAGGATCCATTTCTCTATCCGATCGAGGATGCCTCAAGCACCATTCTGCAACCTGGGTCGTCTCAACCCCCTTTGTTTGCACCTACAGAGATCGAGGAGAACAAGCGAATCCTTGATGACCATATTCAAAACAGGTCGCAGATTTTCGACCTTGTCTCTGTCTCTCCTCCAAAGAGAGAGGACTATGAGCTTATGATCACATTCCGGGCATGTGTCATGGGACTCTACACGCAGGACCGATCCAAATGGCTGCGCACGACACGCGAGCAGCTCAAGGCGGACAATCGTGTTGCTGCTGGGAAGCGCACATATCAATCCATCATGCCCGCAAAGCCCAGAATCGTCACGCCAGCAAAATCAGCTCGGGCACAGCGAACTGATAGAATTTCCAAGCCCCAGCAACCAAATTCCAGAAATAATGCCCCGCGCCCCATCCGCAGCAGCGGTGCCGGTGTCAGCCCCACGAATCCTGGCAGAAGATCGGTTTCACGTGCTAGTGCCACTCCCGAGCCAAGCAAGCGGGTCGTTGCACCAAACAGAGAGGATAAGGATTTTAACTCACTTCCTGACTACTGCCCTCCCGTTTCTTCGCTCCCCGATCGCCCCAACAGTCTAAAGGTGGACTGGAAGGGACAGCCAATTGATCTGAGCGGCGATGTCCATGTTCACCTGCTGCACCCGGATGAGGTTGGGCTGGCTGGCAACCTCAGACTCGACTGCGCCACCTACCTGACAAGCAAGCGTCGAATTTTCGAGCGCCGCCTCCAGTGCTTGCGAACTGGCAAGGAGTTCCGTAAGACAGACGCACAGCAGGCTTGCAAGATTGACGTTAACAAGGCGTCCAAGCTTTGGCAAGCTTTCGAGAAGGTTGGCTGGCTTGAGGCCAAATGGGTCCGCCAATATCTTTAAGATTTCTCTTTTTTAAACTCTCAACATGACGCAATGCGATGAATACGACATCTCGACTCTTTTCTCTATCGGCACCGGGCTCACTATTTGGTAGCCTCAAATACCCTCACACCTCAATATCTCGTGCTTCGGTCTTTTCGACGCACCATGCGATTCTTTTATCCTTTTGCTTTTTGGGAAGTTTCCATGCAATTCTAAATTGTTACGGCCCGGCTACTCGTTGACGAATGCCCTGTGGTCTCTTCACCTATTTTCACGAATCATCAGCACGTTTTAGCATTTTTTCAAGAGTATCGTTTTGATTGGACGACACAATACACCAGAGCATCGGGACTTCTCTATGATACCCCGGAGTGCGACTGTCCCCAGTTAATGTCACTCCACCCCAGACAGCATTTCTCATGCGCAATTCTTTTGTTTTTCTTTGGTCAATTGGGTTCGGGATTTTGGTCATCGGTTGCACAGGTTACGTACAAGGATACGCACGGTATGCATGTATGGCGTTTGCTTTATTTCCCCGACCCAATACACGGGACGGGTGACAGCTAAGGCTGCAACTTGGGAGGATGGGCTCTGAGGAGCAGGAACTGATTTAGCCGTCTCATTTTACATTGGATCCAGAATGGCTGCCCAATGCCTACTTAAGTAGTTAGTTATCTCCCCTTTTTGTTTTCTTCTTCTATTCTTTGGCTGGCCTTGCCCGTTGGGAAGGCAGCTTGCCAGTTTTGGTACAGCAGACTCGCTTGCAGTCAGTTCGGGATTCCTCTCAGTATTTCTTGCAAGCAGACAAGTGAGATCCAAGGCGCAACCCTGGGATGTTCATGAGAGGGATTCAGATACTCAAATTCAGAATATTTTCTCTATACTTTGCTAATTCTGGTGTGAGATGGATATGCGTAGATTGACCTTCAATTGACCATTTGACTGGTGACGATGTGAAATGTTTCGAGTCAAGAAGAGGACTGCGGGCCTGGCGCATCTGCCTCGGCTTCCTTGCAGCCGTCAATCTGGCATTCGTAGGCTCGATGGTTTATTTTAAGCAATTCGAGTACCACGTACATGGACACACTATGAGCATGTAGGTCGGTACCTTACATTGTACAGAGACATGATCCCTCCCAATCGCTACGGCGCCCCGCTTGGCTGCTAACGCGGGCCGCTCGCCAATCTTCCTCCCCCCCCTACTTGACGGGTAGCCTTGCAGCCGAACAAGACATCCATGGCCCATGTGAAGGGTCACAAGAGGTAAGGTAAGGGAGCGGATCCCCAAGCCACAACCCCACAACGGCAAAAACCGGGTGTATCCACCAAACTTACCGGCGGGAAGGTTCGACGATTCCATACCTAGGTAGGAGAAATGCGAGGAGAGCTTATAATTAGAGATGGGGCTGGCTGGGCGGCTGCCAATTTGCCAGGACGTTTTCGAGGTTTTGACGGAATACGACCAATGTTGAATGAAGTGTTTGTGGTTTGAATTTACTCGAATAGTGTATTTGACATTTATTGTGAGAATTTTCCAAGAAGTGAAGGGAAGGGCAGTGGGTGTGCACAAAGACTTGGCTGTGGACGAGTGGGTGGAGAGGTTGAGACGTTCATGAAGGGTGACAAGATGACGGTGGTTTACCATTCTATCCGCTCGTGCATGTATGATATTACACCTTTTCACCTTTCGAATCATTTGGTGTCAATGCGGCATTGGCAAAAGCCTTCGGTGGTCGCCTGAGAGCCCAGTGCTCACCTGCTTGAAGCCGGTTTATAATAGAAGTACGAGTGTGGTTGACGGGTAATGAATACACAAGTGACCTCATAGATATTGCGGAGGGGGACAATGCTAGAGAACCGATGTAAAGAATTAGAGGAATGGAGTGCACACGAACGACCGCTGGCGCCTGAGCGGATTGCCGTCCTCCTCCTCCAAGGCGCACCCGGCTGGCACCAACGGCGGCGGCAAGATTTTCAAGCTCCCGAGAATAACACCTTATATACAAGCTCCCCGGATATGTCATTCAACAAGAAGCCCCTGTGGCGCAGTGGTCAGCGCGCTCCGATGGCTGCCATGTGATGTACCGGCTCTGCGATAGCTATTGAGTGCACGTAGTTTTCGCATACTTAGCGGGGTAAGCGGAGAGAACGGGTATATTACGGGGGATAGGAGAGGTCCTCGGCTTGAATCCGAGCAGAAGCATCGTTTGTCTCTTCTCTTTTTGGCGCTCCGTGCGTTTTTGGGCTTTCAAAGGGCATATTAGACGGTCCAAGTGATGATGCTGGATGTAGATAGTCTTGTGCAGCAGCACATTCCTTTCTCTGACTGTCATTTACACTTTAGTTTTTCATTTGAAACACAGCTCTACAGGAGCTAAGAGCACTAAGAGATTCAAATGTAAGCTTGAGTATCAGTCTTTGGGGGTCGAATAGAGGAATATCCTGAATAAACACATTGTACAAGATAGCAAAGGGAGTCGTTGGAAACATGCGCAATTTCGGGGCTGAGGATCCCGTGTCAGGTGACCTTTTGGAAGTCTAAAAGAGCTTTAAGTCCAATTCGAAAAGTCCATAGCAAGGAACCACCCACACTCGTGCATGTGTTGACACTCGAGGGGACATCTCTGCTAACAACTGGGGCTGGGGCTGTGGATCGAGGGAGCAATTGTGCAAGCTCGCCATGTCGAACTTGGAGCGTGAGTGTATAATGAAGATATTTTCATATCGGACTGTACTAAGCTCTAACACTTCGGACTTTTGTGTGAATGCACAGTTAAACGTTCCTCGGGGGAAGGGTTTTGAGGATAGCAATGGTCAATAGTTTAGCTCTTCGCCGGAAATAGAATACATTTTGAACATGAAGCATATTTTAAATTTTAAAACCTGTCTTGAACTATAAAATCAAAATTTTTTTTTAAAAAAAAAAAACGATTACGATGAGGTTGTCTAGAATCCTGAATTGCTACGAAGTGTTGGGCCCTGGACCACTAAGCAAGGAAAGGGCTGGGGACATGGCGGCTTGGATTGATGAATTGAAATTGCATGTAGCTCAAGATGAGTCTTTTAAGCATTTGGGCTTGTTGCTAGGCCGAGCCTTGTCAATGTTACCTGGTGGATTTCTGCCAGTTTGCTCCTCCTCGTCTGGTAATGGCTTTAGGGGCGGACGTCAAGATGAAGGACCAGATATTGGTTATGATAAGAGATGATTCTATTACCACAGAACGGTGAGCCCTTCTCCTGACAAGCATTTGACGAGCACTTTCACTGCCGAGTAACGGGTCGATTGATGCCATTTCCTAGGTCTAAGCTGACAGTTCTTCACGAGACATTCCAACCCCCAATGGTATTTTCGTTCTTCAGATACAATTTAAGGCTTGGAACATATTTTCAAAAAAGACCTGGCCAAGGCTGGCTCTGGAAACAATACATTCACCCTCTCACCGGACGGGTAACTTTGCCAGAGATTGTAAGCACTTCGTTCTTCTCTGTCTTCTTTCTTCTACATCATCTCTAGTACTGTTTGTGCATTTTAGATTTGGCGAGGATGGAAGCTTTGATCTATTTCGCAACCCGACGACACCTAAGCTGGCTCCTAAGAGTTCACTGTCGCGCCCAGACCTTCCTCCACCGTGGCGAACCCTGGCACATATCCAAGCTTGCCAGAGAAGTCGGCGATTCCATGCCAGAGCCGCGGACACATCCCTTGGTGAGACTGGAGATGCTTCCACAGAGCCGGATACGACAAGTCAAAAATTGTACAAGAGTTGGTGCTACAGCTGGACCCAGTGCCGACCTCCACAGTGGCGAACGAAATGCAGCGGCGAAGCAAAGGGCAGCCTGCTGGAGTTAGCAGATACGGAAATGAACGAGGTACTTGAGAGGATGGCAACTTGTGCTGCAGTTTGGATTTACTAGCGACTAATGCAACCTCTGCAGCGACGAGTGTGTACGGGAGGTATTGGGATACTCTCTCGGAGAGCAAAGTATCGTTGTAGGGTTGCAAGTAAGAACTAGGAAGAGGTAAATCTGATGCCCATTAGGCATGCTGTTTGTATGATAATATACCTGTGGACATTCCTCTTCGAGGATGCGTAGGCTACTGCGTCACTTGAGGCGGAAATCGTCCCAATTAGGTTTTTTCAAAACTTTTTCTCAAGGTCGAATTGCATGGTCAAAGCAGAGATTTCACGATCTAGACCATTACTCCAGTTTGTTGTCAGTACTTACTTGACTGGGGTCGGTCTATAACTGCAGTTGCGAAGATCTGGCAATGAACCTTCTATGAAGCTTTCAGGATGATTCCTGTCCCCCCCTCCGTCAAGGTGGCTATGCGACTCATGGTTTTCTATTGACACACCTGAAGTACAACGAGATTGAGTTGCAAAGGTGCCTCCTCCCAGCGAACTCCATAGTGTATTCGTAAGTTCAGTCACGCTGCTGGTAGCATACTTTGAAGTCTTTACAGATGTCGACGGATCTGCGGTTTGGGGGCTGCCGTGTTGCCACTTCGTCCTCTCTCTAGAGGGTGTTCCGGGTACCTCTGGCATTCGCTTTCTTCTTTCCCTTCTGCTCTCCGTGCGGTGAAATGCTATCTCTTCGAGGCCAGCATCACCCAGCAACACCCGGGTGTCTCTGCAGCTCATAGTGTGCGAGATCGCTTTTTCGCCGACGCATGCCATCGGTATTGCTCATCAATAAAGTGTAAGGTTTGGTGTGTAGACTGTGAAGCAGACGTTAACGCGGCGAACCAAAACATCTCCGTTTTTGAGTTCCTTTTTGTGACAAGAGGGTGGCAAACGGCAATGGAAGCTAGATTGGAGGGCGGTCATATGAAAACTACTTTCTATGATGGTTTTACGATTAAGGTAGTATGAAAGAGTAAAATATCGTCTTTAGTGTAAAGTTGGTACGCATTGTCCCTTGGGAATTTATTATTAGCTCTCAATAGTCTGATAATTCCATCCACAGACTCGAGGATGAGCAATAAAATTTTTCGAGTGACTCACGTTCAAGGTCACCCAATTAGCTGATTTTTAAACAACGGAGTTGCCATCATTATACGGGGTTTCTGTCATCAGGGGTAGATCTTGAGGTTCAATAGTTTGGGGCGCTGATGCGCTAACTTTGACGATAACATAGGTGATATATTTATAGTTCGTGGACTGGGACAAAGCTGCATGAGCTGTGACTGGGCGGAACCTTAAACAAACAGTCATATTGTCTCCAGTACTACTGATAATCGCCCCGAGCTTGACTGAGTTTACGTTGAGTAAGTATGGTGCACACCTGAGGGCTGTGATGGGGTAAATCAATTGGCGCTCCCTCGAAGGGATGATTTGTTGCCTATTTTAGGTGTTACGATTAGGTTTGACAAATGATGGTCAGGCATCACGATTTTAAGCATTGCCAAGACTGCTATTTATATGTATGATTGTCTGGAGGAAAGGTTAAAAGGAAAAAGCATGGACCAGCTGCCAAACTGTGTGTGCATTGGGGGTGCAATGGGGTTGCAATGGCGACGGTCTCACGTGCGTCTGTGATGAAGCTTTTCTCTGCACCATGACGACGCTTTGCATGTGAATGATCAACAAGTCCACTGCAGTGGCCTTGGGGTCGCTGTCCACCTGGAATCCGGGGAGAGGTGGTGCGCTTCTACGAGGACCGGCCAATCCAAGCTGACGAGCCCAGCATCTATTTCCAGCCATTCTCGCAAAAGAAAGTTCATCATGTCGTATCAGGCGAGAGAATTAATATAATCTCAAAAGTCCCTATCCAGAATAGCGTGATATGTCCATCTTCATCTGGGGGACCTTGATGATTATTGGGAGCAAGTGGCAGTGGGACGCTAATCCCCCTCACTCCTTGCTCCGCGAAGGAATCGAGGGATTTTGGTCAGGTCCTTGTTTGACGTACGTGTGGAGTTATTTAATTGAATAAAATTGTATCAGCGGGCCGGGGAGTTACGCCGGCAAATGAGTGCTGGAGCATGCTGCTTTCAGATGGCGATCCCAAATGCCAAGCAGCTCGAGACTGGACGCACGCATTGCTACGCCGGGCTGCCATTGATCGGACATTTCATTTTACGAGAGCCAATCCGGGCCGGCTGACGCTCCTTTCCGGGAGGCAGCATATCAGCCCCTGGCGCGGGTTGCGCTGGGTAATGCTTGGTGCCTTTCTTATGTCGCCTTTTACCAGGCCGGCTGAGTAAGAACTGATTCCCGGTTCGCGCTGTGCCACACCGAGTTTTTTTTTGGTGACGTTATGCACTAACTCTGAACGTTGGGCTGGTTCGAAACGGTTCTTAGCACCAGGACCCTGGTTCGCGGTCGGAGGCAGCCTGCGCGCGCATGTGCTACACTAGATACGTTAGCACATGCTGCAGAGTGCAACTTTGATATGCTCTTGTCATCCTGGCTGTCCTCTGGCTCGTAAGCTGAGATAACGTGTTCATACTATGTAGGTTCGGGGCCCATCTCGTTCGTTGCTTTGTGTTGATGTGTCTCCCCAAGCCGGGGTCGGCTGATATGGGCTGGCATGGCACGGCGTGGTCTAGAAGGCGGTCGTGGTAGGAGGCGCATTGTCTGGGACAGGATCTTTGGGACGTTGGAGCAGAGACAAGAGACAATCCATGGCTTTTGTGTTGGCGGCGACAATTGTGGGGCGAGGCTGCATGGGCCTGCAGGTGGTGATTAGTGCAGAAGGAGCGACCAAACCATGGGCTCGTGAGTCGAGGATGAGGAAATGCGACGCGAGAGGAGATGGAGATTCCCCCTCCTCCAGACTCCCAGACTAGACAGTCAGCCGGCGATGGTGCAGCAGTAGCCAAGCCGCTTGCGACCATCAACTGATGGCTGAAGCCGGTGGAGCCGTCACTTGCCGCGCTGGCCGAAGCCAAGTGTGGTTTTGGCTTTCGCCTCTGGGGGAGCCACGGGCGCATCTTGGGGCAGCCATGTGCCGTCGATAAGCTGCCTGTCCGGCTTGGCTGTCGTCGGTCGCGGCCACTCACACCCCCAGTCCGTCCCCATCCTGCATCGCTCCCCCTCGTCCTCGCCCTCACACCGTCTCTCCTTGTCCAGTGCCCTCCTTGTCTTGGTCCCTCTGGCCCCAGCCCTCAGCCTCCATCTCCCGGCCCATTCGCCAATGGTTGTGGACCCTCAGCATCAGTTGTTTCGGCCGCCTGATCATCCCACATCGGGGACCCTG